GCTAGTTGAGAGCGCCCCCTTGTTTGTCAACCCGCAAGTTAACGTGCTGAAAAAAAAACAGGAACAGGATCGTTTGGCTTCGCGTCGAACACAAGATTTCTGTTGACAGCTACACCTAGTTAGAAGAAGAAAGAGAACGTCAGCTGACACTCAGATGATGTGATTCCTCTTGGTGAGGAAACCCTACGCCCCCCTGAACTCTGCTTGGGTGACCTGGAGAGAAAATGTGACATCTATGACTAAGACTGGATTAAATGGACAAAATGCTCCTCTGGGAATGGACCCCTCGCCCCCCAGTTCGAACCGCCACTGGAAATTTGAGTTACGGCGCCCCCTAGTGCTAGAATTGTTAATGAATTAAAAGCTCTCGCCCCCAATTCAAACATCCTGACACAATTTTGGTCATCTCTGGTTCTGGAAACAAATTTTCTGAAATCGAGATGGAGAATTTCAGGCATCGTTAGTGAAATCTCTCCTGACATCTTGGAAAACCTGGTGCTAAAAGGTTTTGCTGAAAGATTAGTGCAGAAACCCCACACTCAGATATCGGGTTTCATTGAATTGGAACGAGCAACTTTACCTGACAAGTTAATCTCGTTCCAGGGGTTTGGCTTCGAAACTGGACTCAATCGCACGTCACTGGAATATTCGACAAATCATTGGGACTTCCTGAACTTGATTTTTGATTTCGTCTGGGGCAATCGCACTCATTGTGTTTGGCGTCTTTGGGCATTGGGTGTTAAAAAAAAATATCATCGGCGGGCGATGTCGTCTCGTTCTCGGCATTTTTTTTTTTTGGACGTCGTCGTCAATCGGGTATCGCTTTCACCTGGAGGCCGGTGTCGTTGGAAGCTGAATAGTTGTCCTGTTGATCGGTCGGCTCGGTTTTGTTGGCTCAGGGTCGGATTTCATAAAACAAACAACAAACGGCAGTACACAAAAATAATAACAAAACATGTGTTGTCTGTCAACAATGCATCTCTCTAATGCAGTATGCAAACACTGTATGCTGGTCACGCGGCAACAAAATTCTGTGATAACCCAAACTTCCCGCCTCAAAATTTGACCTTGAAACAGTTTGAAAGGCCCGCGAAAAATTCAAAAATTCAAAGTTTGGCCTTGGCTATGATCGTCTAACAAATAGGAACCTACGTTGTGTTTTTTTTTTTTGTTTTTGAAAAATGGCGGGAAGACGTTCTTTCATACAAGTGCATACACTGTCGAGAGCGCAAGAAATAATAGACAAAAATTGGTTTGGAGGGGGAGAAACGGCACCACCCTCACAGGGGGAAAGACGCTGCGAAGAATTACCCCTCAGCGTAAAAACCCCCTTTGGTTTTATTCCCGGACGACATATTATTACATTTCAAACACCTTAAGATATGTGAAAGAAAAACACTCGCGAATTGACAGACATACACACACGAAAAACGAACAAACGGAAATTCTGTACATCTGTTTGGAATCAATGCAAATATTGGAATATCACAAGTTTAATAAAACAAAGCAAAAACCGAATCAAGTAACTGGATGCAAGTACACAAGTTATTACAGGCGTGTGGCGGCCGATCTCCTTTTCCTTTTTTTTTTTTTTTTACGGCAGTTAACAGGAGCACAAGAAAAGTACCCCTGGAGCGTTGTAGCATAAGCGGAGTCTGAGCTACCGGTCTGGAACTGTTCTCCCCCCGCGACGGTGATTCTATCTATCGCAAAGCCTACCCCACACGCATATCCCATGACGAACTTTGCCCTGCGGAACTAGGCCATTACGGTCGTCCAACCCGCAAAGATCTCGACTATTGGGCCAAATCGAGAAATTCACAACGTCGGCGGCCGCCCCCTGAATCTATCCAAACCTGTGGACTTGTACAGGTGGCGCGATAAATCTCGCCAGCTCGACTAGGAACCAAACCTCGCTTCTGCCACGTTTTCTGTGTCATTTAACCTCAATTCCATTTTAAAACATTCAATCTCTTATAACTCTGATGTTAACAACAACTGAACAAGTGTTAAAGTTTCAAAGAGCAATAAACAACATTTAAATTCGCCATACAGTCTTGTGAAATCTTAAACAACAAATAATTCTTATGTGGGATTAAAGTTGGACATCAAATAATTTAGATGATAGAAAACATTCATCAACAAAGTATTTACAAAACAAAACTTAGCAAGGATTTATGAGACGAAAGATCTGGTGTGAAATAAACTTGTACAAATAGAAATGTTATGTGAGGTTAGAACTGTAGAACATGAAATTTACGTTCAATTAAATTTATACAACAAATAAAATTACTGAGGTTAAAATTGTGAGATTAAAGAAATATTGTATGATGTGAAAATTTGCAGAGTTAACAAAATTTACATGAGATTAATTTTTGCCACACTTTATCAACGGTTCAAACAAAGAGTTTACATTATGCCAAATTATATCATGATCTAAATGATTGGTTACTTCAAAAATAATTTACTTTGAGAAGTTAAAATACTACGAACTGGTTACCCCAACAAAACACATAAACAAACAAACACAAAAATATCCAATCATCGCTCCGAGGGAAAAAACGTCTCGGTGATGTAAATATCCAAAATCGTTGTGAGGAAAAAGCGTCTCGGTAATGTAAATTTTCTGTAGCGTTGGGGGCATGCCTTAATTAATTAATCAATCTGGCGTTGCGAAACATGCCCCGATGAATTAATCGTGATAACGATGATAACCACCTAAGGGGAGAAAATATCATAACCCCCCCGCCAGTCCGCAGTATAATGAACTTGTTTAACTGCCGTAAATGAACTATTAGCAATCTTGTGTGAAGAATTTAGAAGTGTTATAATGTAACACTTACGTATATGCATCCAGAGACCTATTCGTAATTAAACACAAGGTGTTTTTCCTGACTAAGTGAATTTCATGAAATCTTCTAGCAAATGGTTAATTTAAATAATCCTGATTGTTAAATTGTGTTTGCACTAGCTGACTATTAAGAAAAACTAGCTTGATTGGTGAATTTACAAACAAAGAAACAGATTCACAACACGTGTTCGCGTCCGACCGGAAGTCTGCAATTTTCGATTAAAAGGGCGCAAGAATTTACCGCGCGGGTTGGGGACAACTGTATCATTATGAAAAATACGTTTGATCGTCATTAAACAAAGGCTTCCTCCCGTTTTATTAACTACCAAACCAACTAATTTAAACCTAGCGCTTACCACGTGGTTACACTTACACGAAACACACCAGAATGACACATTCTACCGCCATACCGCTTTTCTACCAACCCTCTAACTGAAATTACCCTAGCGCTACGTGCTGCCATCTAACCCAAAGATCATGCAACTAACTCCTAAGCGCTACGTGCATTAGACCATCCATGCATATTTGGTTGCCTATGTTTAAGGATTTCCTTTTTGTGATTGAACTCTTTTTTTTTCAAATTAAAATTATTCAAATGTGATTTCGCGCCGTTGTCAATTAATTTCAGCGCGAAAAGTTTGATTTAAATTCGGTCACCACAGGACCTATCATAAAAATCACTTTAAAATGGGAAGACAATACCATCTTTCTTCATTTTCTACAATTGTAAGTATTCTCTATAAATGCCACGAGACCGCATAAAAAAAGACGAAAATGTCCGTCAGTAATATAGGCATTTTTAGAAGAATGTTGCCCGCGACTTGATAGGGTATAGAGTTGGGGACGTAGATTTTTGGGCAGGTCACTCACTTTTTTTTGGAAGCGTCGGTCTCACTGCTTGTGTAACAGTATTAGTGTAAACACGTGGCGAAAATAAGGGTAGCTTAAATTTAGTTTATAATTTCATGAAAAAGGCAATTGTTTAAACAAAAATGAATCATATTTGACGCCACAGTTCGTCTCAACGAGTGTAATTTAATGTAATACAGTGTGAATTTTGTTTTCTTGTTCGTAAATTCAGAGTTCATGTTAAGATTTTTAACGGTTCATAGTTATAACACAATTTAACAGTTATGCAAGTGTTCATATAAACCACGTGTCAGGAAATTCATTTAGTCAGGCTTCACTCTTTCGTTTATAAAAATTATATCTACTAAAGTGACTAGATATTTTACTTAAAAAAGTTATTAATTTATTATCTTTCATACTTGGTAATTTCTCACTCGTGATCTACAATAGGTCGTTTATGGTATTTAAACTAATTTTAAAAGTTGCCCCTCCTTTTTGAGAGAAAATTTAAAATGTCATGAACTAGGAAGGTGTGAAATTTAATTTGTGCTTGTTAAGTGTGTCACTTATAATGCCAGGATATTTAAATTTACCGCCACACATTCGTAATAACTTGTGCATTTGCATCCAGTTACTTCAGTTTTTCCCTTTTTTAGTGTTCTTAAAACTGTGGTGTTCAAATATTTACATTAATTCGTGACATTAATTGTCAATAAACCAACATGACTTCTTCAGCATAAGCCATGACGCCCTTTTTGCGGCATATCATATGGTCTACTTCTTTCTAGCAGAAAGCAGATGGATTCAATTTTTGCACTTTCCCAAATTTTATTATATTTAGCGTGATCTGCCAAAGGTATGTTTGGTTGCATATACTTGAATAGGTATTGAAATAAAGTAAAATCATCCACTTATGAACGATCATCAAAAACTGTAAAAGGTAAAATCTACACTACTACATTTCCTTTCTCAAATGATTTCCTTGATATCTAACTGGCTGGGTCATGAAATGTGCAGAAACCGACGGCGGGCATTTTTATTATTTGTTTAAATTTATTAATTAAATAAACACTAACAGACGATTTTTTATTTTAATTTAAGTTTATATGAACCACTTCACTTCGTACAACCTCACTTTTGACATATCGTGTACTTACACGAAAACACATTTTTGTTTTCAATATCTGCAACCAGTAAATCAGCCGCTGCCAACGTTTTGCATTCGCTGTCATTGCATAAAAAAATTAGAACAACAAAATTACGCAGTTTCTTAAAGCGCATGTATGTCATACGCGATTCTTATTGGGCATTCACTTGACTGATGTGGTAATGGTGATGTTTACGACAGGTCATTGTTGTTATTCATTACTAGACAAAATTTAGATGTTGTAAAGTTACGAAGGGCTTTGACGCACAATAGTGAAAAGACATCATTTAATACCGTGTTGTGTCGGTGGTGACAATCATACACTTTATCAAGTAGATCGATAAATTACAACTGCTGACTGCTATTTAGCTAAACATGGGTACCAGAAAGAAAGGCTCTGAACTTGTCTTTAATTTACAATGGAGGAATAAAGCCGAAAATGGAGGTGACAAATCTAACGTAATAGGAATGTTTGACACCCCAACAACAACTTCCAATTTCGAGATGTTTAAATCATATTTGGTAAGTTCCAAAAATATTTCGCCTAATTTAATTTAGAAAATGGCGATGTTTTCCAGATTAAAAATGCCGGTGTTGCAAGTAGTGATGTGAAAGTTACTTATCTAACTGACAATGACGAAGAACGGGTTATTGATTCCCAAGAGTCATTTGACTTAGCTTTGGCTGCGTTTCGTTTGAAAGCTAGACTTGGAGAACTCATTCTCCTCAAGCTGGGTAAGGCTTCTACTGCCAAACCTGAAGCACCGAAGAAGCATTCTAATGATGTAGAAACACAATCTGAAGCAACACAACCTGATCTTGATTCAATGGGTAGTAACGTGATTACACCCCCTGAATGGTTTATTGCCTACATGCAACAGGTAAGTAAAAATTTGATCTATGTAATTACTCAATTGTGCATAATATTATGCAATCTAAATGAATCATGTAATGAACTTTGCCTATTTAAAAATAGAAGTTTATTGCAACGCATTGTCATCTGACACAAATTCATTGTTGATTGTTTGGTTTTTATTATCGATTCATGTTTAAAACAACACAGGCTTCTCACATCTTCAGTAATTGATTATGTTGGCGTGTTGGTTACATATTGTGTACTTGTTAATGAAGGCATGATTTTGCAAATTGTTCACATTTTTCAAAGTGAAAAAACATTACTCTTGAGTAAGCAGGTGATATTTTGTTACACAAAAGTTTCGTCTAATTAAAATAATGATATTGCCTTCCACATGATGATGGATTAAATTTCTAATTTAGGTAGACTGGTTGTTTAAGAAACGTATGTGCATGCTAGGTGCATGCGTCACACATCTGTCAATGTCGAGTCAAATCACCAATGAACACATTGAAAATTTATGTTATCAATTACATGAGTTTTTCCTACAAATCCAACCTAAATTCGCGATAAAGGAATCGTGGTATTTAGGATGTTTGGCGTACAAATTATCGAGTTCTACGTGTCTTAATTGATAACGGAACCCTTAAGGCAATCTTCGTTTTCTTCAGTCTTTCATAATATTTGCATAACCAGCGAAAACAAAATGATTTACGAGTTGACGTTACCTGTCAAGCTTTGGTTGGTACTTAAATTAATCACTTTTTGACACTCGAATTTCTCAAAAAAAAATGTGTTCAACACAAAACATTTTTCTTGTGCAGCTAGTACCGGAACGGCGAAAAGATACACGTGTAACCCACGTGTTTAATTTGACACTGACAGAATGTCAATTGTGCAGTAGCACCATCTGTATAACTAGTCTTATAACCAACTCTTCAGTTTGATTTTCAATCATAGGGTATATCTTTCATGTAAAACTTAAAGAAAAAAAAATCATAAGGTAATTGCGATAAAATTCAAGGCGGATGCATCAACCACGAGTACAGGAGTATATTATTAGTAGTAGTTTTAAAGATTATCTGTCTAATAAAAATCGACACAGACAGACGCTACTCTAGAGGTTATGAATTAGCTAGTACCCCAACAATAGTTTTCTAGTTTACGCTCAGAGAGTAAAAACAAAAATTAATTGACAGCATGCTTTTAAATTTACTTAATACTTAATTTGTGACTTATAAATTTAAACGAGATATTCTTGTCAAGTTAAATACAAACGAGCAATTGAAAGAATTGTTACAACTGTTTTAAAGATTTCTCGGCATTATTAAGTCAGAACCTTTATTCATTCTTATTTATTGTGGTTCTAATGTCAAAGAGTAGCCAAAAAGTAGGGAACCGCTGTAATATTTTTATGATTTGAAGTTTCTGTCGACTTTTGCATAGGCTTTTAAGATAATTTGAAACCTACATAATATAATTTTATGAAAATTGACCCTCGTTAGCCTTTAAATTACAAAACTGATTTGATTTTTTATACTTTAATGATTACTGATTTCTGTTTCTTACTTCAGTGATGCATTTCGTACCGTGGTTTGAGTACGTTGTATTTATAATTTTGTGTAAGTTAACTCTTCGTTTACACTTAAAAAAAATCAATCAGTGTTACTCCGTGTTTATGGTACTCCAGTATGGATTACCGCAAATATCAGAAGTCTTATTGAAAGTGTAAACAAGTAGTCAGGTTTGTTTACAAAGAAAGTGACCTTTCTTTTGTATTGTTCCAAATTGTCGCTAACCCAAAACCGGTGTTACTGGGTTACTTTTTAAAGCGACAACAGGATTACAACTAAAATGTCGATTTAATCGCTCAAGTATAGTGAAACAAGGGTAGCTTGTAGTTCCCGAGTTTAAATTTACTTGTAGTTCCGAACTAGAAATGATGTATTTTTTTGTATCTTTATCTTAAAATCCCTAATGGGAGAACGAGAGATTTCTTCATCCCTAATTGGTTTTCGCTGTATTTACACAAATTAATATCGAATTCGCGTTAGTAAAGCGAAAAAAAATCTCAATGTGAACCTCGTACCGGTCTTAACAACGTAAAGAAAGGGAATTTGTCCTTGCCCTTGAAAAATGATTAAGAAACCTCTGGCTTGTGTATCCAAAGGACAATGGTAGTTTCGTTTCCCTCTAGAGGTGGGTAAAACAAGGACATAAAACAAGCTTCCAGTTGCAACCTACACATAATAACATCTCGGTCCTATATTTAGGAATAAACATCTGGGTGGGGTGGGTTTGAACGAAAGTCCAGGTAGAAAAGATCATCCCATCTGTTTCAGTATTATCTGGTCTGGTCTAAATATCCTCCAATAAACACCAGTTTACAAATAATGTTTTTATTGTAATTTTATTGCTGCTTTAATAGCCACTTGGCTACTTTATACTTCTGAAATTGTTACATTAAATATTTTTCTAGGAACCTCTGTATTTTCCTTTTGCAATATTTCGATGTAATTATCCCAACACAGAATTACACAATATGTAGTACAAAGTGACTCTGGTTTAGGAGTGAAGGTACAAGGGAGCGGTAAACGGAATTCTCAATTTCTGGAATGCTTTCGACAGAAAATGCACGTCATAAAGAAATCTTTTACTGACCGTAGAGATAGATAAATTATATTCTTCCCGCATGCCTTTTATTCATTAAACTACGTGTCCACTTGAGATAAATACTTTCGAGACTTCTGCTCTCAAGTTGACTCTCGGAGAGTTCGACAGATCTGTCTGAGAGCGAACGTGGTCGGGCCTTCTCTCAAGTGGACAAGCAAAATTGCGTGTGCTATCTAATAAATAATTATTACAAAGTAGTATATTTTTAGAGCTATTCAGTACTTCAGAAATCTATTTCAACAGTGTCAAGCGTTTTTACAGTTATATTAATAATACAAAATACAAAATACAATTTGGCGAAAAATATTAGGTTCTAAACATTTTTTTTTTGCATTACTAAATTATCCTAGATTATGCGCTTTTATTGCTAGTATGTTACAGTTCACAATTGCCTAACTTCAACATTTGCAGTGTTTTTATTTAACACACATTTTTGTGAAACTTGCCACCACAAAAATACACGTCAGCCTTATGTTAAAACGATTTGAATACGACCTCATTTGGATGCAATTTCAGTAACGAAAACAACGATGTTTTTGTTTGTTGTAAATTTCTAAAGTTACTCATCACATCGCTATGGAAATTTTATGGTTTGTAAACCCACTAATAAATGACATTAATTAATTTGGAATTATTTTTGATTTGAATGTTTAAAACAAATTTTATTTGCACCGAGAAGGGGAAATTTAATACATTTCATCCTTACTCTTTTATCCCTGTTTATTGTCTTAATTATTCAATGAAATTGTCATTCAACTTGCTTTGTTGACTCGCCGGTTTTTACTTCCCGAAGTATCGTAATACGGTCCATCCGGCCCATTGTTACGTTGCATGTTTTCTCGACGTTTCATGACCACTAGAGTATGAAAAAATTGCTCAAGGTCTCCGTCTATTTGTCTGTCTGTGATCTGTCCGTCGTCTGTCGATTTTTATTAGACGGATAATAGTATGGAATATCGCATAGACGGTCATGGAAATTTCTCGAGGAAAAATAAACATTTTACAATTAAGCTTCGCCCCTTGGCTTCCGACGTATAAAAAAAATCATCAGAATTGAGATAGGGCGGGTGGGCGGGGCTTATATTTTGCCTTTTTATTTCCATATATATATAGCCATCTTTTCACAACAAGAAACTTAAAACATGGTTAAAATGGTGCATTTTTGCAAAATCAATATTTCCTCATACAAATTTTCCATGTTAAACATGTTTTAAGTTTCATGTTGTGAAAAGAAATCTACACATATTAAAACAAAAAAGAAAAAAGTAAGCCCGCCCACCCGCCCTATCTCAATTGTGATGATTTTTTTTTATTCTTAGAAATTTAATCACGTTTAAAATGGTAATTTTTTGTAAGAAAATATGGATTGTACAATTAGGCTCCGCCCCTAGGTATCTCAACGAATGAAAACTTCATTACTACTTAGGTCAGGACAGGTATGGGTGGGGCTTAATCGTTGGCTTTAATTTTTTCTTAATATACATAATATTTTTGCAATATCACGATACTCAAAAACATGTCTTACAAGGTAAGAATTTCTTATAGAGAAATAATAACGATTTTGCAATAAAATTCCGCTGCTTTGACTTTCATGAAAATTGAAGAATGGAAAAATTTAAAAAAGGCAAAACTGAAACAGAAAAATCGAGAAATCGAAAAACTGAAAATGAGAGAAATCCTTAGATCATATAATAAATAGATACCAATACTCAAACTGAAAGGTGTGACTAGACATGAAGCTATCTGTTGTCGTTTTCTACGTCCAGGGGAGTAGTATAATGCTGTCCTTGTGTGATCACCACATCTTCATCTTTGTTTTATGCATTTCATCTGCATATGTCTATTTCACTTCCATCCTTGTACCGCACCAGCGCAACAAATCGCTTTTGACAGATGTTTCTTCTAACCTCTCTTTCGAGTTGTTGTACAAAAAACAATTTTAGAATTTAGAACAAAGATCCTATTTTAAGTGATATAGTCATAAAGGATCACAATTGCTGCCCAATAATTTACTATTACTTTCGTTATCTACTGTGAATTATTTATAAAATCAAGCTGTCAACATCTTTCTTCCGAAGTTAATTCCGACATACTTCCTAAAATTTAGGCGCGCAAAATTCAAATAGTGATCAGGCAAGGATAGCTTCATTGTAATCCCTCCATGCACGAGAGAGATGTGTGACAGGAGGATGTCGTCACAGGCTGTCCTAGGGAAAGAACACGGCATGGTGGTATCTATTTATTATATGATCTAAGGAGAAATCTAAATACCGAAAAATTGATAAATGGAGGAGAAATTGAAGAATCGAGAAATCTAGAAATGAAAATGCTTATTCGGGAAACTGAGAAATCGAAAAATTGAAGAATTAAAAATTGAGAAATCGTCAGATTGAAATATCGGAAAATGGAAAAATGAAAAAATTGAGAAGTTGAAAAATTGAAAAATCCTAAAATTGTAATATCGAAAAATTGAAAATCTTTAGCATACCTAGGGGAGAAGCCAAATTGCCAAAATCCATATTTTCTTACAAAAATTTACCATTTTAAAAGTGTTTTAAGTTCCTAAGAATAAGTAAATCATCACAATTGAGACTGGGCGGGTGGGCGGGGCTTATATTTTGCCTTTTTTCTTAATATGCGTAGACGTCTTTTCAGAACAAGAAACTTAAAAACATGTTTAAAATAGTAAATTTGTATAGGGAAATACCGATTTTGCAAGTACGCTCCGCCCCTCGGTCTGACAACGAATGAAAAATTCATGAGGAGTGAGATCGAGACGGATGGGTGGGGCTTCTCTTTTGGTTTTCTTTTATAATTAATACATTTAGACTTCTTTGTATAATACGATTACTTAAAAACATGTTTCACATGGAAATTTCTCGAAGAAAAATAAACATGTTACAATTAAGCTCCGCCCCTTGGCTTCCGACGAATGAAAAAAAATCATCAGAATTGAGATAGGGCGGGAGGGCGGGGCTTACATTTTGCCTTTTTATTTCTTAATATACATAGCCATCTTTTCACAACAAGAAACTTAAAACATGGTTAAAATGGTACATTTTTGCCAGGAAATATAGATTTTGCAATTATGGGGCGGAACCTAATTGCAGAATATTTTTTTATATAAATTTTCCGTTTCAAACATGTTTTAAGTTTCATGTTGTGAAAAGAAGTCTGCACATATTAAAACAAAAAAGGCAAAATATAAGCCCCGCCCACCCGCCCTGTCTCAATTCTGATGATTTTTTTATTCGCCGTGAATCAAGGGGGCGAAGATTAACTGCAAAATACTTCTTTTAAAAAAATTAAAAACATGATTTTGAGTATCGTGTTGTTCAAAGAATAAAATGTATATTAAGGAAAAAAGCCAAAATATAAACCCCGCCCACCCACCCCATCTCTACTGTGATGAATTTTTTTATACTTAGATACTAAAAACAAATTTAAAATGGTAAATTTTTGTAAGAAAATGTGGATTTTGCAACTAGGCTCCGCCCCTCTGCCTGACAATGAATGAAAAATTCATCACGATTGAGATCGAGACGAATGGGTGGGGCTTGTCTTTTGGTTTTCTTTTTAATTAATACGTTTAGTTTTCTTTGTATAATAACTTAAGAACATAGCGCCGCCCCTCGGATTATGACGAATCAAAAAATATCAGAATTGAGATAGGGTGGGTGGGTGGGGCTTATGTTTTGTTTTTTTTTTCTTAACATACATAGCCATATTTTCACAACAAGAAACTTTAAACATGGTTAAAATAGTACATTTTTGCAATGGATTTTGCAATTATGAACAATTCAATGACGTCAAAACGTTGCATAATAAATTAATAAATAATACTTAAATTTAATAAAATAACATACTCTAGTACTTGTGGTTTATGAATTCGCCTTGATTTTTTCCCATGATATCCACACTTTCGCAAAAAAGTCTAAATTCTTGGGATGCTTCACAAATTACTGGATTATTACCTATTTTCAAAAATAATTTTTCTTTCTATATAATGTAGAAAGAGTATAAATCAGTGACAATACTTGCGATATCTGTCATAAAATCGTAGCAAAATATCGATTTAAAAAATAAAACGGAATACCGTTTATGTTGTATCTAATTACTAGAATAAAATCGTAACTTGCTGGACTCAATATCCTTACTAGTTGCTGGCTTTAGTTGCTTATTTTAGTACCAAAAACAAAACTTTTATCGTTTTAATTACTTGACTAGATGAAGTTTTACTCATCGCAAAAAAATTATCACGACTGAACTGATAACAAAAATGAATCACCACATAAATTATAATACATTGTCATGTGAGTTCTCTAAATATGAATTTTGATACAGGATGATCTCATACGTTGTTGGATTATCAGTTGCTGGATATTTTTAACAAACGCAATTCACATTTGTTGTGGTATCAGTTCAATACATGAAGGTGTCTAAATTACATGAAAGCTAAATGAAAACTTTAAAAATTAATCACGATCCACACAACGAATTTATTTTCTTGAACTGACAATAGATACATTTAACTTCTGTCGTAAACTATTGTTGATAACAGCCGATTTAACGATTATTCGTTGGATAAATGTGGGAGGATGTTACTCAAACAATTTTCGTTATAAAAAAATAACCACTTTTGTCAACGGAGGATTCACGATTTTACTTCCCGAGTGAAAACTATAATTAACATTTAACGAATGGCTACTTCCACGTTAGCATTAAGTGTATTAAAATCTCACTTGAGTTTGTACTTCACTAATTTATACAAGGTGATTATAAACGATTATACATCAATTTGGGTTGAAATTTGTGTCCTGAAGCTAATTTTTATTTTAGTTTAAAAGAGACATTGTTGACGAAATCATGTATGCTGTCTCCTCCAATTTGGCTGCAAGCGCCAAAGAAAAGGAGAAAGAAAGCATACCAACCGTGATTCCCTGTTCAAAGAAAAGTAAGCCGGAAACATCAAAAAGATCCAGAAAGCACGGAGGTCTTGGTGAAACTCCCATCGAGTAAGTTTTATCTCCGATAGTCTACGTTTCAATGACATTTTTGAAATTGCAGTAAAGAACTTTCGAAGAACCTAAAATTCGACCGGAAACTGGAAAACAAACTAGATAAACTGGACGCTAAAACAAAGAAGATAAAAGAAAGGAAGCAAGCTTTGATGAATAAAATCGAAAGTGAACAACATAGATATTTTGGCGGTAGAGGTAAAAATGCTTCAGTTGCTGTACCGAAAAAGGAAACTGTGCAGACCGAGATACCCGTGGACAGTGATGGTGCTCCACTGATGAACGGATCTGCTGCAAATTCAGCAGGATATCATTGTATGATGGGTGGCGAAGTGTATCTTCATACTTGGTACATTACTAACACTGGAAAACAGCAGTGGACTTCAGATGTAGTGTTATTTTATTTTACAGTTGTACATTAACTCATTCTTGTGGTTTTTAGACTGAATTGCGATTAACTTGGGGGTCGGCTGAATTGCTACCCACTGTGAAGAGTGTGCGCTGTCCTTGCTTAAAACCGGGAGAACAGGGAACCATTTCTGTCAATTTTGATGTACCAAGTAAGTTTAGTGTGTATTTTTTTTTTATTATTGATTTTGGGCTTACGTTGAATTAAGTAATCGTCTCTTGGTGCTTATATATTTTTATTTGCAGAGAAATCTGGCACTTACGAAAGCTATTGGAATTTTTATCACGGAAATGTTCGTTTTGGAAATTCTCTCAGTTGTTACATATTCGTTGAGGAACCTTTAATAGCTACCATTTCCCCCGTTTCGAGCTTTCCCCAACCCGAGTTTTGCATCAACAAATCCAAACCTCTCCATGTGGATCTCGAGCCGTTGCTCCAAAAAGATGTTCACGATTTCTTCGAGAAAAATAAAATTGATGAAAACAAACCTTTGGAATTGACCAAACCCGACGAAGCGTCCTTTGACATTTTAGAAGAAGCCTGTGCAAATAACGGTAGCACTCAAACGAAAGATGGTGTAAAATCCCCCGAGAACTCGCCTCCCAGTCGTTCGGAGAATATTGAGGCCGAGGAAGAATTAAAATCGCCGAAAATTGTGATTTACCCAAGAGGAATTGAGGACACATCAAAAGTGTTTACCATTTCTGTGCCAGCTGAGACCGAAAGAATACTCTGGTACCCTCCAGGAGCCAATCGCAGTTTGTATAGACCAATCGAAATCCCAGTCAAGAAGATCATAGGGTGGGAGACAAAATCAGAAGCACCGATTGTACAGCAGTCTCTAAAAACGTATTGTTCAACGGGACAAGTATTCGCTGATAATAATTGTATCGCAATTATTAGACCTACAACTGTGGCAGACAATGCCTGTGGAGACATGACTTTGAAACACGGAGATGTGAAATATTTTCTGCCGGATTCAGATTGGGACAGCGTTTGTTCCTTCGATAGATACTCTGACGATTACGAAACTAACTTTAAAGATACATCTAACAAATACGGAATCCTGGAAAAAGATCTCATTGTGGATTTGTCCACAAATAAAGAAGCGCCCGCTGTTGAAAAAGAAAATAAGGAAGAAAAGTTGAACGTGGTAACGAGTGAAGATAACAATAACAACAACGGGACTATGGAAAATAATAATTGTTCGAAGGGATCGATTTCAGAAGCTGAAAGTGAAGATTCTTCAGTGAGTAGCGGTTATGACGTTTTGCAAGTTCCAGTTTGTGAAGAAAAGGAGGATAACTCAGGTAAAATTTTGTAACTAAGTTGTAAGTAAAATGGGAATACTATGAGAAGAACGTACTAATAAAATGTCGCAGTGGACGTAAAAGCGCCGGGACGGGTCTACTGGCGAATTTAGGGGAAGGAAACTATTGGTACCGTCAGCTGTATTCGTCATTCTGTTTTGTAATTTTAGCTTCGACTCTCTTGTAGTATTTCCACTCTACTTGAAATAAACTGCTATGATTTAAAAATTCATGTAGATTTAAAATTTCTATTTTGTTTGTTTTTACAGGCTACGTTTACATCACAATTGACGGCAATAAACTGCCAGTTCCAAAACACATTTTACGTCCCGATTTTCTAGCCAGCGCTGAAGAAGCTCCAGGTCCTATCTCCACTGATGACGAAAGACCTGCTGAAAAATCTATAGATTCAAAAGAGAATACCAATGAACAAGTAAATTCTCCTGCAAAATCAGAATCTCCACTCTCTGAACCTAAACAAGACATCCGTGACACTACTCAAGGCAACAAACCTTCACCAACCCTTACACCAGAAATTGCGACGGATGCCTCAGCCGGACGGCTATTTATTTTCCCACAAAACCAACCCGGTTATGAGGTGTTCCGTAACAAGGACCAGTCGACCCATTCTTTGAACAGAATGGATTCGTTTGAACCTTACACTTGGTCGACCTCTCCAACCCAATACAACTTGACTGATCCATTAACCATGGACGGAGCAAATTCCATGCATCTAAGGAATGACCCGTATGGACCTTTGGATAATTCGTCCTCGTCTTTCGTTGAGCACCATCCAACACCTGACCAACCGATTCATCCTTCATGTCCTTTTGCGTCTTATGGAGGAAATCACTATTACCCGCATTGTCGTTCACCTGCCCAGTTCCCGCATGTACCGAATTACCAGCAATGTGGTCCACGGTATCAGGAACCAGTCCAAAGTCCGTCTGCTCCACCTCAACCGCCCCAGCAACCGGAATCACCGAAAAGTCCAGAGCTGGCTCAGGCTGCACCTGTTCACCATATTTTACCAGAGAATTTCGTCAATGGGGCTGTTAATGTGGCTTCTTCCGCCATTAACACTGCGCGGTCGGTAATCAACATGCTGGCGTCACCTAAACCGGAGGTAAGTTACATTTTTTCAGGTTTAAGTGAGTAACCAAAATTTGGATTTTGTTACAAAAATCAACATGTTGAAAAATGAGATTTTTTGAATAATCAAGAATCCTCAAAAATTTAACTAAATCTGAATGAACTGATTCGAAATGTGTTAATGGTCCCCAACCAAGATTTTCGAAAAATTCGTTTTGAAAATGATTTTTTTATATCTCGAAAGATCCAAAAAAAGTCAAAGGGTTCACATGGGAGGTATTGAAAAATTGAGATTTTTGAAAAGTTGCCCAAAGTAGTAAAAAAATTCTGAGATATAAATGTCATAAGCTGATTCGAAAAACATAAGTGTTAATAGTCCCCGACCAAGATTTTCGAAAAATTACGTTTGAAAAATTTTTTTTAAACATCTCGAAATATTGAAAAACGCTCAAAAAATTCTGGGATGTAGATACGTAGATGTCAATGGGATGTATCGAAAAATATACGTGTGAATGGTCCTCGACCAAGATTTTAGAAAAATTCTGTTCGAAATTTTTTTTTTTAATATTTCGAAGTCTCGAAAAATGCTCAAAAAAATTGTATTGAAGAATTAAAATTTTTGAAAAGTTGCCTAAAAATGCTCAAAAAATTGTTCAGGAGCTGATACGAATAATTCAAAGTGTCAATGGTTTTCGACCAAGAGTTTCAAAACGTTTTTTAAATATCTCAAAAAACGTCAGTCCCCATTTTTAACGTTATGCACGTAGGCTTTAAAAAAAATTGTCACGAAATTTTACAGTTTCAAAATTTTAAAGTTTTAAAACTCTTAAAAACTACAAAAATCGCTAATCAATCATAAATCATGTTTTTTCCTTTCAAAAATTCGATGACGTCAGTTCAAACTTTTATTAATATGTATTAATTACAATCTTACGAATCTTTTGTGGTTCAGTGTACACATATTTTTAATAATGCGTACATATACGAATTATGTATAGTAAAAAAATATTAGCCCTTTTGTAATATGTTTTTATTTTTACTTCCCGAGCGTAAGCAAAGGAAGTATTGTAATCGGGTCTATCGGGTTAACAAGTCGCCCGATGGACTCGATTGTCGACTGTCATGTTTTCTCGACGTTTCATGACCCCTAGAATACGGAAAATGTGGCCTCCCGTTTCTGTCTGTCTGTATGTTGTCTGTGTTGATTTTTATTAGACACATAACCTCCGAAACTGCTTGACGGATTGTTGTCAAATTTTGTATTAAGAATATTATGTAGGTGGTAAAAAAGTTTGGCTAATCATACCCACCAACAATTTGATAATGTCCCCTCATTTTTTTTTAAACGTCATTTAAATTGTATAAAATAACATACCCTTATACTTGCCGTTTATGAATCCGTTATTACAAAAAAATACTTTTAAAGAGGAAAGTTCTGTTTAACTAACCTTAGACCATACATGTTTGTATTTTTAGATTAATGTTATGTCTGATATGTTTTAGGCTGGAAGGTGGGTAAATGGCCACTGGGTTACTGAAAATCCTGAATCTCTTCGTGCAAAAAATCTGGTTATATTGAATGAAATGGGATTTTGGAATCCCGATCTAAATGCTACTCTATTGGCACGACACAATGATGACATCGCCCAAGTTATCACTGATCTAGTTGAGTAACCTTGTAACTTTCACCATTGTTGACATTCATCTAATAATATTAATTTTCAAATATGTGTTTATTGTATTTTAGACATTAGAATTTATTATAGGAAATTTAATTTGAAAGGGTGTTACTTAGACACGGTGTTGTTGGATGGATGGATTGAATCAGAATAGACTTAAGTAAATGTTGGTGTAAAAGGCAGTTGAGATTATATACTTAGTTTGTAGAAATTGTGTAAGTGGGTATTGAGACAGTACAGTTTGTTTCAGTTTTTGTTTTATTCCGAACGTTCCGTATATATCTTATTCCTCCAATTTGTTGTATTATTTCAAATGTTAACATTGTTGTAACTTGACGTTAAATACATCATATCGAAACAAATTCAAAGAATCGAGGATAAGATAAAGTACTTGTCTTATGTAATAATGTCTGCGTTCTATATTGGATTATTAATATACTAGGTAGGTGTACTTTTAACAATAAAAAATTGTGAATTAAAAATGTTGTAATTAATTTCTTTATAATTTATCAGCAATGCAAAACTGGTAATGAAATACTGTGTTTTGTAATACATAACAATTTTCCATGTATATCTGGTTGCCTAGTCTATAAATTGTAGACACCTGTGATGTGACATTCATGTGTGTTTGATTTTATAATTGTGTGCTGGTTATGTTTAGTTTTTTCTCCATTTTAATCATGTCACTCGCAAAAGAAGTATCGGTGTTACAGTTAGTTTCAGACGTGTTAAGTATAATAACAATCTCAACATGTTTTATTTTAAAAATACCACAAATCTTGAACATTTTGAAGGTTAAGAATGCAAATGGCATTAATCTTCTAGGATTATTAATGGAATTATCAAGGTAAACTATAAATTTTACTTTTTAAAGTACCGTGATTTTTTTAGTTATACTATAATGTTTTCCTACAACTTTCGAAATGGGTATGCACTTCTCTCATATATGGAGTACCCTATTATTCTTATACAGGAAATAGTCCTAATTTATTGTGTGATGTATTATAAAAATTGTCTAAATATATCTGGCTTGGTAGGAAGTGTTATTTACACTTTATTTGCGGCGGGGCTGCTTTTAGGCACTGTACCTGTAGGGATAATAGCTTTCCTGGTGGTAGGTTTGAATATTTCACTTTGAATATTTTTGTATTTGTTGAATCTTTTAGCCGCTATGTACTCCAATAGGTGCTTCCTCAAAAGTAGTACAATTAATGGAAATTTTGAGATCAAAAAATTCTGAGTCTGTTAGTGTTTTGACTTGGTTTATTTCAGCATTCACAAATTTTAGTAAGTATAGTTAGAAATCTAGGCTTTGTTTAAAATAAAACAAGTAATTTAGATAGTGATTTATAGTTAATAGTTTTAAAAGGCGTTACTAACGTCGTTATTATTGCTTTTTAAATGCTACCACGATTATTATAAAAGCTTTGTTGACTAAAATACATGTTTGAAATGTGATAAGATATGTCCAGTGTAATAAAGCGGTGCTGGATACTAAAGTAAATTATGGACGATAAAGAATGAGTAGGTTTTGAATAGTAAAATTAAAAATATTGCCAAGTGTATTGGCAAATTTTGCACTAAAATTGTCAATAAAAAGTTCTTATCTCAATTAATTGTGTAGCCAATCAGAATTTTTATAAAATGGAATGATTATGTGCTTGTATTATAGTTTCTTAATTCGCCCTTAATGTTTGAGGTGTATGTCGAGATTTTTTGGAAAAAAGTCAAAATTGACATTAATTACCGTGGATTTAATTTATGACGGTTTGTCGGAATGTATGTTGGGTTGCATATCTGTCAACAAGCAAAACGCAAACTTTCCAAAATCGTAACAATGAATTCACTGTATTAAAACATCATAAATGTGTATATGTATACAAGGTGTCCACCATCACGAGTGAGCAACATAATTTATGATCGCAGAAGGTTCTGGAAACAAAATTTTAATCCATTGTTTGCGTAAAATTCAAAATTTCGACAGCTAAAGAGAAATGGGTTAAGAGTTTAAAAAAATATCCCGCTAAAATGAGAAATGTGCATAAATTTTCAAAACCCGCGAAAAATTCAACATTTGGCTTTGAGGTGTAATCATTACTTCTTTTTTAATGGTGGAATGCGTTTTTCGCTGTTTTTTTAACCGAAAAAAACCGTCAACTTGATGACTTTTTCAACTAACCCATTTAACACTGAAATGCATTAAAATTCCTCCTATTTCAATTCATCTTAACAAAAATTTGACCAAAACTAACTGAGCTGAGTGTTTTAACTGTTCATACAAAAAATTCAAAATGAATTTAGAAATTGAAAGAAAAACAGCAAATGAAATTTTATTATATTGAGAATGTGAACTATATATTCAAGGAATGTTGTGTTTCAGCACGCGTTTTCACTATTTCCATGGACTCAGCAGATTTATCTCTTCTCTTAAATTTCACCGTCAATGTTGTTTTAAGTTCATCTGTTATGGTAGCGGCTTACGTTTACAAACATCCTAAAAAAGACTAAGGTTGTTAGTAAAATTATATTTCTATTATGTTCGGTAAGATTTTGCATATAAAACTGGTAAAACTTATAAATATGAATGAAATGCCATCATAGAACAACGGATTTTACAGCAGACTTGTAATGTGATAGTGCACCAGTTTCACAATTGGAGTGTCAATAATTTCGTTTTAGTTTTAGCTCATTGAGTGTCATTTTTTTTAATTTCATCGTTTTAAAGGGTTGTCGATATTGTGACACGATTTTAGTGTAAACATTGTGATAGCAATTCTTTCAGTATTTAAAAAACCACCACTTGTTGTATTTTAATTCACGTATAAAATGATTGTATATAAAATTTAACTGGTTGCTTAATTTTGTTACTACGATCGATTTGTTTTATCTTTCTCGGAATTAAAATGTGGCGTTGGTGGGTTTTTATTTCTGAAAGAGTTTTTAAAGGTATATCAAAAAAGATAAATAACGGGTGTTCAAAAAATGTCATGTTTGAAGTTGATTGTGTATCCTTGAACCCATACTGTGTTGCATTCTATGTGACAAACTATACTACATAATTAATTATTTTTTTAACTTTTACTTGTAAAAATTAATTTACAACCTACTTCATATATTTCTATGTAAGAGAAGTTGTAAAGTAAATCCTATACTCCGTATTTGATAGTCCGTAGTAAAAAACGTAAGTTGTCTTTTCTGTGAGACGAACATATATAGAGAAAATTCAGTACGAAATTTCAAAAAAAACGTGGGTGTATAAAAGTGAATACAAAAATAATTGTAGTTTTATATTATATTTATTCTTTTTTAATCTTCCACTAAAAATGATTTTTGGGTACTTTTATAATGTTTGGGATTTCGTTTTAAATTTTCTTTGCTACACTCCATGAGTCCATGGGAGTTGTTTGAATATCATTTAATGTAAGCGATTTGTATATTATTGCCACTTTTTTCTTTTAAGACATTTACAAGGAACTGTTTTATGTAACCAAATTAGATTTGCTCAATTCCATAATAAGTAATAATAAATAATCAAAGGATATTTTTGTTGTATATGTACAAGATCTCCTATCGATTCGGTAGTGGAAGAAACACTCTTTTTTTATTCATTTACATTTCACGGAATATTGCACACCGTAGTTTACATTTAAATTTTAAGACATTAGAAAAACGAATGGTAATCTTACAGCAAACTTTTTGATTTTGTTGCAAAAAACCTGATTATACATTTTAATGACTCTAAGATTGGCACCACAAAGTTTAAGAGTTTCTGGCGCGCATTGTAAATTTGAAGTTTAAAAATGGAAACAAAACTTTCAATGAAACAATCAACTACAATAATTTAATGTTGATGTATAAACTTCCACTATCGAATCGTTGTGACGGGCTATTATTGCACTTCATACAAATATTTCTAGTTCATGTAGGTGAGTATACAGACTGCTATTTATTATATTACGTAAAAAGACATTTACTTGCATTAAAGTAATTTTTGTGTTATGTTAGGATTGTTATAAATTCTGTTGTTGAATAAATCTTTGGAAAGTTGAAGTTTAACTTTTTATTTCCAAGTTCTGTAATGCCGAACACGCCGGAAAGACAACGCGAAAAACATGATTGTCGCCGAGTTCTAACCACTCGTCTCAGGTGGCCAGTGGTCGAAATTCATGAATGGAATGGAAGGGATAAATGCAGAGAACAGGGCCGTACTCAACACTCAACAACAGTTTCTATGTTAAACTGTAAAGTTTTGTTGAACAATTTTGAATCCTAAAAATCTACACCCATAATGTTAAAATTAGGATGGATTAATAGGTCACAAATTATTTTCTAAATTTTAAATAGGGTTTATTTATCAGTTTTGATTTTTTTCTTAGCAAAATCTGGAGATAACGTTATCAAATTTTTGGTGAGGAAGATCAGATAAATTTTAAAATCTGCGATAATTATTATTTTCACGCTGCAAAAACCCTGTCCAGCTTTCAAAAATGAAAACAAATATTTTAACATCACAAATTTCAACATACAAGGAAAAGAAAAAATAATTGGATGTAAATATACAACTTATTACGCTTGTGTGGCGGCAAATTTAAACCACGACAATCGACTAAAAAACACAGTTTAGTGAAAAACATTACGGAGCGTGAGGACGCGTAGCGACAGCGGCGCGAAGGGCGTCTCCTGGTGAACTACAACCACAACGCCCGCTATGGAGATAAACATTCACATGAAAAGGACAAGGAAAAAAAGCTCCCAGTTTGAGTTTGTAGTCCCCTCACTCAGCCTCACGTGAAATAAACTCCAGAATTTTCACGCTAGCAAAATGAGTATTATTATTACCAGGAAGGAAAACTGGCAAAGTTAAATTATGTTACACTCTATCAGGAATTTCAAATAACAAAGGATTTACATGAAGTTAACTTACGCATTAATTGAAGTTAATGATTGAATTAAAATGAGTTCATCAAGATTACATCATGGCCTCAAAAAATCCACACAATAATCCAATCCAAGTATAACGTAATATTAAATACGGTAAAAATCAAAATAATATTCGAAAATAAATGTTCAAATTCAAGGTATAAGCGAATAATTCGGATGTAAAGAAAATAACACATTGATATAATATAAAATAAATAAAATATATCCCATTTCTAGTCCATGAAGATATTAAATTAACTGATGATAATTTTCAAGGTCCTTGAATCAAAATAAGTGAATTTTCGTCACGTGTTTTTAGTATTAGAACCATAAACAGTTATGACCTGTGAATTTGCAAACAATAAAACAAAAATTACACTATTGATGGAGTAGTCAAAGTTTTTTATTCGAAACGTCGATGCGACGTTGCCACGTTACTCCAATTTTGGAATTTTTTAGGAATGCAATAGTTCAAAAAAATCTCAATAGGGTTATTTTTAAAGCCTGTATTACAATATTTTAATTAGAGATAAAAACAGGTAATTACGCGCTTTCAGTGTGGAATATTTATAAAAAAAAGTCTAAAACATTACAATTTTCAAATATCGATATTTGCGTTTTTTTCAAATATAACATTTGGTATTTTATTACTGCATGTTACGCTATATTTTTGTTTTCTTTTTCTAGATATATGGAGTGTTAATGCAGCAGCAAAATTCAGTTGTTCAGTTCAAACATAGAATACTTTGTATAATTGGAAATAATTTTAGACTCATAACTTTAGTTTGTGACTTTTTTTCTATTTTTAATAATTAATAAAACACGTATCGAGGCACGCTTAGTGACTCACCCTGTACAACAAAACTAAAATGTTTGTCACCACAAAAACTAAATAAATAAATGAATTTTTATTGCACAATACGTTCAAACATACGTGCATTTTGTTTATGTTGTGGCACCGAATTTGTTAGGAGTATACATTAAAGCTTCATCCTCGTAATAAGCAAATATTTCAATCTTGTTATTCCCACTCAAAGTAAATACACTGTTAAATTGAAGTGATTAACAGCACGTCGCGAAATCGACTAATGAAATACGTGAAATACGGTCCTGCCCGAGGGTTAAACAATTTGCGGACCAAAGATGCTGAGTCTGTTTGATTCTTGTGCCGGCATCTGAGCATTCTCAGCTCAGTAGCGCAGCGATGTTCGTTGTAGGCGCGCGGACGAGCCTTTGGGCCGTCCTTGTGCTTCGGATGATTTACACTGTGCAGGGTGAAACGTCTTTGACACCGCCGTATTTCAATTTGGCCGAGGGCAGGAAGATCACGGCATCGGCCACGTGTGGTGTCGACACCGAAGGACCGGAACTATACTGCAAATTAGTAGGGGCCAATGCCGAAAATGATCTAAACGTTAATGTTATCCAAGGACAGGTAAATGCTAATTCTACAAAAATTCGCATGTTTCTTGGACCATGTGTGACTGTGTGTGTTTTTTTTTAAACACGCTAACATTCAAAGAGCGACTACTAAATTTCAGATTTTACATCCAATTAGATTCACTGCTCGGAAGCATTCTGGTCAGACGATAAATATAAATTTATTGTTCAGTTTGTTATCGATCATTGAACTTACTCCATAAATAAATAGAAGAGTAATTTGATTCTTAAACATTTATTCTAAAAATTATAGTCTTTCCAATTTCGAATCTTTCCTAATTTCTATAACCTTTGATAACAGTATGTGTTTGGTAAATTAGTTTTATCAAATACATACATATTTAAACTATGATAAAGGCTGCTAATCAAGTAGCGGCCTAAATTACTCTTAAGAAAGATTTTATTTTACCACTAGGATTTTAATTTTTTGGAAAAAGCGCAATGTTTTCGAAATGATGCAACGCACCAAGACGACATTTCTTTTATAAAACTATAAATCTGTTGCTGAATAAGCAAATAACTGACTGTTACGGGATAAATATTTGTGAACTATTGCATTATACAGTCTTTTAACTATTCCATAAAATTACTTTTTTTTTCCTAGATATTTATGTAACACACATTTTTTTTATAAAAATAGGCCACAAAATGTTTATCATTAAATTTAAAACAACTTTATCACTAAATAATTATAATTATGATGATTTTGACTTAATAGTAATTGTTATTTTGACCCACTTCCTAGTTCACTGGTGTAGTATAAGATTTAATAAACTCAAAACAAGTGATTCTCTTGTACTACATGACGAGAATCATTCCCAGCTGAAAATCACAAGAAGTCTTTATATTTTATTATAATTACAATTATTAGAATGCGTTCTGTTTGTTTGGCCATCGATACACTGTTTTAGTTTTTATGGCTAATTTCATGTTTTTTGGACATTTCATGACTCCTAAAAGAAAAAAATAGATCTCCCGTTTTATTAGACATGTAATCCCCGAAACTGCTAGACAGATGATTGTGAAATTTTAGATATGTTTTAAGAATATCATGGAAGTGATAGTAAAATTTGTCTGTTGATGCCCACCAAAAATGTGGTGACGTCATCCTATTTCCAAAATAGTTTTATCCTATAGCTATGGTTTATTTAATTCAGCCTTATTTGTAACCTTCATGTATGTGAATTAGCAAAAAAATCAAAGTTGTAAAACACAAAATAACATTAAACTAATTAATACTGTTTGTATAATTTTAATCAATCACGGCAAATTTCTAATGGAAAAATTACTCTACAATACGCACATACTTTATTAGTCTTCCTTTCTTTTTGTGCAATTCTTTTATTGTGTGACTGAGTGAAAATAAAAATTAAAGTGTAATATTTAACCTAGAATACACTTATAATAGAAAACTAGATTCTTATTATAAATTCTTTCTGTCTAGTCACAAATAGAGATTGTCTGAACGATTTCATGATGTAATTGATGAGAAAAATGTGTTGATTGCTTTCGGTAGAAGTCATGTAGTTGTATTATACAGTGTGTTGTTTTACGAATGCATCATAGGGAGATACATGTGTAAATTATTCTACTGCAAAATTAGCACCAACTTCCCTACTTGACAGGTCTTAAATATAGGTCGTACCCATTTGAACCTTTTCTGGACATGTACAAATAGACATTTTTATTTGTATTTAAAAACAGGGGACACATCATCAAAAATGTTAAATATCTATCAGGTAAAATGATTAAAATGATGGAATGATTTTCATTTTTAATTGAACTATTTTTTTACTTCTTTGGTTCTAAAAATTATCACAATTTGAAAAACCATTAGCACAATGAAAATTTTACAACATAAATCTCTATGATACATTCGTAAGAAAAACACACTGTATATTTTTCACCATGTAGTTCGAATAAACAAACTTTTTTTTAAACGCAGCTTATTTCTACTAGTGCTGGTGGCTTTTTTTTTATAATGTTCGTTAGAATTAATAAAGTTTGTATAATTACGAGAATATGAACCTTTGAAGTTAGTCGAAACTGCAGCCAAAATTGTCACTAATTACAGATGTAATAAGTTGATATATATGTTTTAAGAATATTATCTATGAATTTAGGTTTTCCTTAGTATTTCCATCACATTAAATTCAAAATAAATAACAATAATATACAGACACCCTGTATATAAATAGATAAACCACCACAAACTCTGTTAAAAAATACAGAGTGAACGAACTACAGTACTGCTTAATTTTATATGATTTTTTAAAGATAAAACAAATTGAAAATTTCGTATGAAATTATAGATTCAACCTTTTAATGAAAGTACAAACATCTAAAAAGGCAGGAACTGTTAACTAAATGACCCTTGCAAAAGTTAAAAAATGGAAGCACGTTTTTGGTTACTAAATTAAACGGCGTTGGTTTTATAATCATTGAACTCCAAGCTATTTGATTATGAACAATAAGGAAGATTTTTGAAAAGTTGCCTAAAAATTCTCAAGAAATTCTGAGATATACGTAGATCTCAGCGAATTGATTCGAAAAACATAGTGTTAATGGTCCGGAACCAAGATTTTTGAAAAATTTAGTTAGAAAATGATTTCTTTTAATACCTCGAAGGCTCGAAAAACGGTAAAAAAATTATACGAGGGGGTGTTGAAAAATTGAGGTGTTTGAAAAAGAGCTAATTCGAAAAACAAAAGTGTTCAATGGTTCTGGATCAAGATTTTTGAAAAAATCGGTTTGCATATGAATTTTTTTTAATATTACGAAATCTCGGAAAACGGTCAAAAAGTCAAAATTTGGAACATTGAGATTTTTTAAAAGTTACGCAAACCTCAAAAAATTCCATGATACAGATCTCTACGCGCTGATTGAAAAACATAAACTACATAGTCCCTAACCAAGATTTTAGACAAATTTGGTTTGAAATAAGTGCAATTTTTTAAATTTCTCTAAAAATGGCCAACACTTTTTTTCACATTTTGTCATTATTTTTACATATGTGTATGTAAAATATTTAAAATTGTGATACATATAGAAAAAAAATAAATGGGTTAGATTTATTGACCCCACAAAAAAGGGTAAACTAACGACAAAAAAGATGTTTGAAGCGCCAAGAAAATCTTTTACAAGACTAAAAAATATTTACACTCAAAATAGATTAATGCACGACAAAAGGTGATAATAGAACGCCAACATATGAATTATAGAAAAGTACAAATTAACGATAGTTTAACCCCACAGCAGTCGCGCCTTATTTTGAAAATTACTTTGACAAAACTTCCCTCGTTTTTGAAGTACAGAATAACGAATTCCGCTTCTTTGAAAAAATTGTTTTCTGATAACCTTTATACAGAATCTTTAGAATGTATGGAAACGATTAAATATCTTGAGAACCAGTTGTACAAATCAACTGAAATTAGGTATAGGGGTACAAGAAGTGCTCCAATTATTCGTCACACAAACACACCGAATAAAATGGGAATTCGGTGTTGTAGTTCCTGATTAAATCAATAAAATAAATTCACGCATTCATTAATTTTTTTGAGTCACCCTGTATATGCAAATTCAAAAAATATGAATGGAATGATAAATTACAAGTACAGACTCATTATATTTTCTACATTTTAGATAGGATTTATTCGGCAAACTTTTCAGGTAATGTAAATATATTTTGAATAAAAACTTATCATGCTTATCATAACTGTACACCATCTGCAAGATTTTAAAGCATTCGGTTTTGCAGATTCCAAATTAAATGTCAAAATGTTGTTACTTAATTTTGATTTTTTTTTCCAAAAGTCTGGACGTTTCGAGTAAAATCTCAATTCGGAGTCATAAACTACATGTGTAAGACTGTGTTATTTGATACAATTTAAAACCCATTTACTATGTACAATTTTGAAGTGACGTCATCACATTAGTGGTGGGGATGATTAGACAAATTTTGGTTAGCGTTTTACCATCCACATAATATACCTAATATAAATATAAAATTTGACAACAATCGGCCCAGTACTTTCGGAGATTATCAGTCTAATAAAACTCCGGGACGGCAGACAGACGAACAGACAGACGGGAACGGGAGATCTATTTCTTCGTCGAGAAAACGTAAAAGTAGAGAGTCGGCCGACGGACTCGATTACAATACTTCCTTTGCTTACGCTCGGAAAGTAAAAATACGAAAATGTACATTCGTCCAATGGACTCAATTACTATATGTATTTCCTTATGTTTTTGAAAAAATTTGGACGGTTCGGGAAAAACTCAAAGCGGATTCGTAAACGACACTTATAAGAGTATATTGTTGTAAAAGAGTTAAATCAAATAAACATAGAATTTTTTGAAATGACGTCATCAAATTGTTGGTGGGGATGATTAGCAAAATCGGTCCAGCAGTGTCGGAGATTACGTGTCTAATTAAAATGGATACAGACAGACAGATGGAAACGGGGAACTGGTTTTTTCGTACTCTAGGGGTCATGAAACGTCGAGAAAATATAAAAGTGGCCATTCGTACTATACTTAGCTTATGCTCGGGAAGTAAAAACTGTATTTTTATTTTTTTTACTGAAAATTCGTTAGGGATCGTTTATAGAAATCAACATAAATAATTTATGAAATAGAATTTTTATTCTATGTAACTGGATTTTAGAATTAAACAAATTGAAACACTAGTAACACGTAAAGTGTCGTTCGAAAGATATTTTATCGATTTCCAAGTTCAGTTTCACTGCGAATTCGGATTCAAAATTTCTCAATAACTTAGAAACTTATCATTTTTGAAATCTACTGAAAAGTAAAATACACTGCCACACAAAATTTTAAATATTTTTTTTTTTAGATAATCTTGTTATTTTTTCCATTTTGGCTCCTAATTCGTAATTATTAAATCAAACATAGAAATTCTGAAACAAAAATCGCCAAAACAACAAACTAATAATGATTTGGAACCAAGTTGCAAAAAATATTTACTGCAGTACTTCCCGCATAATGTATATTATGTTTTCCCGACCCAATCGCTAAACCAACAAATGATTAATTCAGTACTGCCAAAATCCATAATATCGAATGAAAATAGTTGGCCTTCTTTGTGTTGCTAAGGGTATCAATTAAAGATAATTTCAAAAACACATTTTATTAATTTTTGTTACAAAAAATCGTAAAATTAAACGGTGTTGTATCGAGTCCTGTCATTTCACTTAGTTCCCTAGCGAGGTAAGTAGCCCTAGGAAGGTAAGTGACACTGTTTCACTATTTCCTAGGCAACCAGAACACGATTAGTAATTTGAACTTACCTTCATCAAATGTGACGAAAAGGGTCGGAAAAAAAACTATTTCTGTCATGAATTTATTATATTTTATGTCTGATTTCTTGTGATGTAAGAGGTCTATGCTATTTTCAACTGGTAGTTATTTTTTAATTGTTCTTTTTTGTTTAATTTGTTATCTGAAAGAATAATAGTTTAGTGTATTGCATTTATAGTGGTATACAAAAGATAAAATTCTGTAAGTAAGCACCATAATTTTATGCAGTGAGAAAGTATTTTGTCAATTTAATAAATATTAATACAAATATTTGTATAGGCTATTTCATGTAAAACTCATCCCCTTGTAACTTCTATTAATAGTGATGATCTGCTCAAGTTCGAACCATATATTAAAGAAGTACAATATGATAAAAAAAAAAAACTCCTCTAGTAGGCCGTGCAATTTATTTTTAAAATAATGATGTTGGTACTGCAGTTATTTGACCCTTATTTGACGGTTATTTGATCGTATCTGTCAAACTATACGAAGAACGCGTTGGTAGTTAACATCATTAACTATTTTAAAAATAAATTGCACAGCCTACTCGAGGATATATGTAATCTAAACAAATTCGAATCATGTTACATGTTAAAATGACAATACAAATTTCAAAGTCCTGCAGGTATTTTTTGAGATTAAAACGGAACTTTGTTATTCAAGGAAAAGTCCTATTTTAATTTTTGTGAAATTAAATTATGTAATTTGAGAATGTACCTATAGCAAGAATACTCTTTTAGGAAAAAAAAAATTTTACAACCTAAAGTTAAAGAGCTCGTAATCGTTATAAACCGAAACTTGTGGCCTGCAAATAGTGAACAGGGACGGATTTGTTTTTTTTTGTGTAGTAGAGTATTAACTTGTGTTTTTAGACCGGCATGTAGTTTACTTACAACACCATCGAATTATTGTGTCTAAATATTTAGCCGAATGAATTTCAAACCACCAAATATTTTTCTAATGCAGCCCTGAAATTTACGCAAATTTTAAAGCAGCATGACGTATTGCACTGGAAAGGTTCTTCATCCATTGTGACACCAATAGTGTCATAAAATTTTATTAGTGCATAAAGATGGTGTTCTTACTATTCAAACTCCACCCAAAACATATTTTTTGCATCTTAAAATATTTTTCAAGAATTTTAAATGATAAAAGTGATTAGCAAATAAAGTGTGAGGTAATGCATGTATGTGAAAAGCAGCTTTTGTGGCCCTCTACTAAAAAAAAATATTTTGAAATGTGTGATATGTTACTAAAATACGACATCTTTTATAAAAACGTAAAAAGAAACACCTGTTACATCTTTGTTTTTTAAGGGACTCTAATATGTGTTATCTTGAGCATAAAGTTCGAAGCAAAGACGAGGACGTTGTATTAATGCTATTAATATTATAACGTCCTTGAACAAAGACTTATGTTACTAAGTTTACAAAAAAAAAAAAATGGGTGAAGTTGTCAAGTACAATAAGACAATATGATCGAAAAAAGCGATCTAGTAAGCTATGAAATTTATTTTTAAAATAACGATGTTGTCATTGCAGTCAGTTGACACTTATTTGACCGTAAATTTCAAAATAATTAACACGAACAAGGAACGCGTTGGTGTTGCCAACATAATATTTTTAACATTAACTTTCAAAGGTTGCTAGACGTCTTTTTTCTCGATCATTCAATTTTAAGAAATGTAAATCAACTTAATTCTCAGTTAGATGCCGACGCGACTTAATGATTTTAGAGAAATACTAAAACTCACTGAGGCGTAAGGACACGAATTCCGTGAGTTCCTCAATAAATTATTATTGCCAAGTATGTCATTTATGATTGTGTTTGATTGGCACACATCGATCCTTTATGTGATATACCATAATAGAATTATTGACATAGAAGGGGCTATTTGTGGAACTATATTAAATAAAATACTCAAATCCATTAAATTAATTCATGTTTGACTCTTTTTTTTCCAGTTTTGCGATGTTTGCGACCCAACAAGACCAGACAAAATGCACCCTCCAGAATTTGCAGTGGATGGTATGGAAACGTGGTGGCAAAGTCCCCCATTATCACGAGGAATGAAGTACAACGAGGTTAACTTAACTATAGACCTCGGTCAAGTAAGTGCATTTTTAACTTATCAATTTTTATCTTTTACTATCTCGTTGCAATTAAATCTTGTCCGTTCAGAGTTGAAATATCACTTTCAAGAATCGTGGATTTACAAAATACCTCGCTCAGTCTTTGTCCGATTAATAAGGTAGCAAAGATCACGATCGAACAGAGCTTTGTGTTTATGTAACGCGTTATGCTATTTCTAATTTTATCACTTTAAAAGCGTCTATTTTAGGTGAAGCCTCGTAAATTTGTGCACTGGCTGCCTATTTAACGGCTTTCCGATAAAAGTTTTATGAGGGTCTTTTTTCTCGTCTATTCATTCAGAGTTGCGGTTCGTCCATTCATAAAAGCACCTGCAAAAACTTGCTAGTCTTGAGACACCGAAGACTTCGTGACGCTATTACTACTTCTTGTTTGCTCAACCAGCGACTGCTTCATTTTTATAGCAACTCAAAATATCTTGCAAGTAACGAGCATCATTAAAAATAGTGGATTACGATTAACATATCGTGCGATGAGTCAATTTGGAACCTTCATGTTTACAAGTAACATTATCACATTGTCACATCGCTTACAATCTTAATTCAGTGTTTAGTATTAGATCATCTTGTAAGATAAATTGACCGAATTGTTTATTCTCTCTCTAATAGATAGATGAAACGAAGACTTTTTCCAAGTTACAACCGCTGTGTCTTGCGAGATGTCACAAAAAGAGCATCTGGCAAGCACATGTTTTATTTAATGTTGTGACCCCCGTCAAATCGTCTCGAGAGAATTCCTTGCTCTTTGTCGCCAGATAAATAGAACAACGCAACAGTATTAAGTTTTCTTATTCTTTTTAAGCCTTAATGCTTTGATACCTCTATAAATTGTTGAAATATGAGTGTAATATCGTATAAATCAAAGGGGTAAAGCAATAAAATGTGACATAAGAATGAATGTGTAATAATATCTGCAGACAATTTTTTCGTATTAACTTGTCATGTATTTCAACTACCGCATATCATATCAAGACGGGCGATGTGGGTGTCCACTTCCCGCACTAATCAATGTTTAAGGCCTGTATCAGTTATCACAGGATGTTCATCTCTTTTCCTATCTTTTTTTTACACAAATGTTTTAAATGCCACTTTTACAAGAATTGAGTGAGATCTTTTTTGCAAATAACACACCACATGTTTAAATTACAGTAGATCTATACTAACTATAATACGAAAGCAGATGCTGTTGTTTAATTAACATGTCATTTTTTTGAAGACTATTTTTTAAATACAAACTAAGGTCCCCTAGTATTTAACAGTTGTACAATTTTAAATCATTTTATTGAAATATGTTAATTTGTAATTATAATTAACAGCAATAGTGCGTAATTTCTAGATAGTCTAGTATTGACAGGGTCTACCATTGACCTTCATGAACTCCCAAAATACTTTTGTCAATATTTGCGACAAATAATAATTTATAACGAGTGTCCCAGATTTTGTTCTACAGTAGCGTACAGTAAAAGCTAAACTTAATTGCAAATTCGTTAATATTTATATTTCTCGAATTAATCCGAGTAAATCATTATATTAGTGCAAACATGTTGACGTTTTAAACAGTATGCCACAAATGTTTTAAATGAGGGTATACTCTGTCACATATATTTTGCAATCTATTACTGCGGAAAAATAGTCAACTATCAGCGTTTATTGTTATTATTATTTTATTTATTTCAATAAAACTCCATTATATACAGTCGTGGCCAGAAAATCTTAGGCATAATTTTCCTATCATTTTGAACATTTTAATGTAGTCTATGCCTTATTGTTACTTTGACGTTTGAAGTTTAAAATATTTGTCACGGTGCATCCAGAGTCGGGATGCCCTCAATGTCATAAATGACAAAACTAAAAAAAATGGACGAAAGTTGTTTACACAGAACTTCCCTCACTCCTGAAGTACAATGAAACATAGGCGAGCATTTTCGAGTTGAGTTTTTCTTTACACAATTTTGTGATGACGTCATCAACATTTTTGCAAGAACACGTATATCAATTTGGATTGATGCAGTGTATTAACTACTAAAAATAACAGTTTTGTATTCTCAAAATTTTCTGGGAAAATGGAGTGAGCCGTTCCTGATTTCATCAATAAAATAAATTGACTCATTCATTAATTTTTTTGAGCCACGTGTTTAATAAGCACATCTAAAAAATATGAATGTAGTAATAAATCACAAGTAAAAACTCGTTATATTTTGCACATTTTGGGTAGAATTTACTTGGCAAAATTTTGAGATGACGTTATCAATTTTTTGGGGGCAATAAACAGATATATTTTGATTAAAAATGTATCATACTTATCATAACTTTAAACATCTGCAAGATTTCAAAGCATTCGGTTTTGCAGATTCAAAATTAAATTGCAAAATATTGTTTTATGATCTGTTATGCTATGTTATTTTATACAATTTAAGATCATGCCATCACATTATTGGTGGGGATGATTAGACAAAGTTTATTTAGCGTTTTACCATCTACATGATATTCCTAATATAAATACAAAATTTCACAACAATCGGGGCCAGTACTTTCGGAGATTATCTATCTAATAAAAATCCGGGGACGGCACACAGACGGACAGACAGAGAAACGGAAAAGGGAGACCTATCTCTTCATACCTTAGGAATAATCAAAGGTCGAGAAAACGTAAAAGTAGAGAGTCGGCCGACGGACTCGATTACAATACTTCCTTCGCCTACGCTGGGGAAGTAAAAATAAGATCACAATACTTAAAAGTGTTGCACACTTTATAACAATGGAATGACATAGTATATAAGATTTTCCGGCCACCGACTGTAGTATTGATACATTAACGATTAATCTTTTGTTTAAATAATCATATGGAAGTGTAAAAGATGTTATTATTATTCTTTTATACTCGTCTGTGTTTATGCTTTCTTTAAGGTTGTTAAAGTTTTATACTGGAATATTTTCAATCATTAATAATTTAATATTTGCAGTAATTTTGTTTGATTGAATTATTATTTTCGTGTAGAAGAAATTTAATTTTCAAGTATATAGCAAAAAGTTAAAAAAAATTCAAAATTGCTTACATACATTTTGCCATGAAGTAACTAGATTTGTATACAAAAATTATTCAATTCAAAAATTTTTAACAAAATATGACTTGAGTCATGTTTCATCAATGATTTTAGAAAAAGATCTACAAGAATTCCTAAAATAAATAATTTGATTTACAAAGAATGCTGTACTCGAAAAAATGAGATAGCTAGGGGCTTGGTTTTTTTTTTTTTCAAACAGACTGTATATCAAAATTAATATATGGATTACCTTAATGTGAAAATAATACTTATTTTTCTATTAAGTAAATGTTTTAACAAATTAACCCTGACTTAACTACAGTATTTTTTATGAGTAGATTTGCTGCATATTTTTTTGATCTTGTGTGGTTGGGTGTGAAAAATAAAGTAGGATTTTTTGCATATTTATGGGATTCTTAAAATTTGTTTAAATTGTCCTGTTTTGGGTAAAAAATAAAAATTGATACATTTTTGCAATTTCTTATAGATATTCATTCATTATATACAGTCCCGTCATTACATTGTTACAAAGTGTGTAACCTTATATTTCTAGTTTTGTCATTTTTTCATCTGCTTTCAAGTTTTCTCGACGTTTCATGACCTCTAAAATACGAAAAAAGTGGTCCACTGTTTCCATCTGTCTGTTGTCTGTGTCGATTTTTATTAGACAGATAAATCTTCGAAACTACTGAACAGATTATCGTCAAATTTTATATTTAAATAAATAAAGAAATAATAAATAAATAAATTCATAAATTTTATTCACGGGAAACCCCTTTAGTACCAATTATAAGACCATAAATCCCAGAACAAACTACAATAAACATAAAATAATAAAATTAACTAAACGATAAAATTACAACAATCGGTAGTGATGTAGGTAAATCACATTGTAATACGATAAATAAACTTAAAATTAAACTCAAAATGACATTAATTAATATATGTTAGGGATATCGTGTAGATGGTAAAACACTAACCAAAATTTGTCTAGTCGTCTCCACCAGATTTTTGAAAATGTAAAACTGAATGCTCTGAAATCGTACAAGCGTTGTAAAATGTTCATCAAAATTTATCCCTTTATTCCCTCAGATAAAATTGATGACGTCATCTCAAAATTTTGTCCAATAAATCCTATCTAAATTATCAAAAATATGGTTTCATCTATCGTGTGGTTTCGAATGCATTCATATTTTTAGAATTATTTATACAGGATAACAAAAAAAATAATAAATGAGGCGAACTATTGATTGATCAAATCAAGAACGGCTCACCCCATTTTTTCGAAAATTTTAGTATGCAGTACTGCTGTTATTGGTGTCCTTACTAAGGTGTTGATGACGTCATGACAAAATTTTGTTATGGAAAAACTCACTTGAAACATACTCATAGCATGCTTTTTTACCTGTACTTTAACAGTTGAGACATCATTATTATCATATCATAAAAAAAATTAATGTTGTCATTTTTCCTTTTTTTTTTTGTATTTGTTTGCCTATACTTCAGGGCCGAGGGAAATTCCCTCTAAATAACTTTAATCCAATTTTTTTATTTGGTTTTTAAAGTCCGTAGTAATGGTCCACACGTTGAAAGCCAGTTTTGAAATGTCTAAAAAACGATGCATTTTAATAGGACTTCTTTTTTTTCCAAATTTTTTGTAGAATTTTCAATGTGTCCAAGTTTTGGGGTACATTTTAGGGATGTTAAAAAATTAGTAACTTTTTTTTTCATTTTGATTTAATATATATTTTCATACTTTAGAGCTTCCAAGTTTATGCGATTATCTTTTCTGGTCTTTACGATTTGTGTATGTGTTACAAGTACCAGTCATCAAAAAATAGTACGACTAACGCATTTAATAAAAGCTAAATAGCTATTTGTGCATCTGTATACCAATTGGTAGGTACTTTGGCACGC